AGAGGTGTACCAAGCATTAGTCTTATTTTAAAACATAATTTTACCAACGTTCACTTGAGTAAAATCATGAAATCATAGCAATGCCCACTTGAGTAACTCTAGACGACTACAATCCAGCTCTCGCAATATCCTCAGCTGAGTCCGTTGCGAATAAGGTTCAGAACAAGCTAAGTGAAGTGAAAGATAAAAGAGTATTAAGGAAAATCATGTCAGTCTTGGCTTTCTTTATCAGTTTATTTATCTCTATGACACAAAGGGTCCGTTTCCCACCACCGCGTTCATATTCAGTCGACCCTCGTGGAGGAGGTGAAGTCTTAGATTCCCCAAACACCTCCCAAGTGGTCGTTGTCATAGCCATGCACTTGAATGCGACAGCGACCCCCTATAAAGTGATTACAAGTTATTCCCCAGAAGCATTACCTATCTGTTACGTCATCTGTGAAGATATTCATTCTCACTCATGCTTTTTTTTACGTCTGCCGTTATAGACAATGTTGATTTTCGAGATGTGCGTGGTGTTTCGTGTTTTACAGGCTTCCTGTTATATATTTCAGCTTGAGTTCTGTTCGGTCTTTTGCTGTTTTGTATTTGCATATTTCGTGTTTGGTGAGTGTTATATTTTCACATATGGATGTTCACTGTTTTAGCCTTTTATTTATTTAATTTGTGTATTTGTATATCGTGTAGGTTAAAAGTTAAGCGTACGAGTGCGTATGTGTGTGTCCGTGCTTATACATATGCATAAACAAGTACAGTTTTTTTTTACACACACACACGTGTAAAATATATATATAAGCTACAAATATATTTTAACAAAATTATTAATAGATATTTATATAACCTAATCATTCAGACTAATATTCACATTCGTATCAATAATATCTGTCCTGTGTACGGCTCCGTCGCTACTGTATTCGGGAAAAAAAAAAAAAAAAAAAAAAAAAATATATATATATATATATATCATGTATATATATATATATATATATATATATATATATATATATATATATATATATATATATATATATATATATATATATATATATATATATATATTATATTTATATATATTTACCTCAACGGCCCGCCGTCTTCACCTTCTCAATAAAAAGAATATTGATAAAGAAATATGGAGATGGTTCAAGAGACAAGTTCTTTATCTGTCGACAGAACAAATATATCTCGCTTTCTTTCCCTCAGTGCATATCGAGTGCGGGAGAGAGAAATGGTTAATAAACCTGTGCCTCCTTCCATCAGATCTAAATGGATGACGTAGATAAGGACATTAACGATGGTCGTAATAAGATGAATGATAATAGTGAGGACGGTAATGATGATAATGTTAGTTGATGATTACAAAAATAGCTGTCGTGGTTGTGTTCATGATGATACAGGTTCAGTGACGTTAGCTCTGCTATTATATATATAGCAGTTATTATATACATAATACAAGTAATAGCAGCAGCTGAACTTCCAAAGAGGAAGCTGCAATGAACTTCATCTTCATTCGGTTGAATTCAAACAAAATGTTGTTCTTCTTGGTCCATCTGATCACAAACAAAACACAGACGTTTCAGGCGTACTTCCACTATTTTCTATTACAAGCTGTAAAATATGGATGATAAATCCTTCATATATTAACTTTCAAAATGAGATAAAATACATTACATAATTTTCATACAAACAATACATGACAGAATGTTATGGAATGACTGAACGGCAAGTAAAGAAACATTAGCTAAAATATACAATTGGCTAGGCTAAGAATTAAAATGACCACGACAAAATCTATAAACATTAGAAAATTGTTGATTTCAGATTTCATTATGAACGACTAAATGTTTTGACTCTTTAACATCAAATGCTAAACTCTAATATGGCGATGCTGCGCCAGGCGATCATCTGAGTGAGGGAGGCCTTCCTTAAAAACCCAATGTTCGCCAAGGTGGGTGATTGTCAGGCCTGGCGAGCGAAAGGGATCGCCAGGCGCTAACATCTTGTATTCCTGCTAAATCTAGCGCTTCGGCGTGTGAAAAAAAAACGCGGGAAACGCAAATTTGTTTACATCTGCAGTGCGTTCTATAATCATAAACAGCAAATATATGTTATTGGCACTTAGCAGGGATTTTTATTTCTTATTATATTATCTTATATTACCTTTCCTTACCTTACCTAACCTAATCTAAGCTATAGTGTTATAATAGCCTCACTTTATACAAAGGAGTTAAAAAGTAACCATTTTACTATATCTAACCGATATAAAATACTGAAATGTAGGGCTACAAGGGTTAGGTTAGGTTGGACACGCCTGTGGAGCATGATAGCTATGTTTCTATAGCCCGTAGTAAACATGTCATCATCAAAACACTTATGGTAAGTTATGGGGGCAGGAAAACAGCTGATGTCTTCAACTGTCAACTGGAACATTGAGTCTTGAAAATCTACGTATATCATATACATATACATGTTACCAATTTATAATTTGAAAGCAAGAAAA